ATGTGTGGTCTTATTTCAATCAACTTTGATGTGATGAATTCTATTTCAATGAAAGTATAAAAGACCATTCTTTGATTCCATAGCAGAAAAGCTAAAAGCATCCATGCGTACCAGTGAGTTCTCTATTTCCATTTGTGCATACAAAGTTGTTATGTGTATGTTTTTTCAATATTTTTCTAAACGTCTAACTGGATATCTAATACGATAGTACTTCAAAATATTGTAAGATGTCTCATTTCTATTTCTAAGGATTTTATGTCTTTAAAATTCTTTATAAGTAAAAAACCTTCTCTTCTACCAAAAAAAAAAACTTCTTAAATCCCTATGCAATTTCAGCTCTGAATCTACATGTTTATGTAGATGTGATAGTTAGTGTGTATAGTACTCCCTCCGTCCCTGAATGTTCTTCCGATTGCGGATTACGAAGGTTGACCGACAATAAAGTTAAATGATCCCTGTGAAAACTCGGATTATTTTTAGTAAATAAAATTTACATATTCAGAAACTACATTAAACCCGCTACAAAGCCTGCACAAAAAAAATCAATTTTCATAAAGTTTTGATACAAAAAGTAAGAGTTTAAGAGTGATTTAAGTTGACTCTCGAAAAGCGAAATGGAAGTAAATTTAGGGACAGAGGGAGTAGTAATTTATTTTCAGAGTATGGTTTAATGGATCATAAGAGTCTTAGCAGAAGATATTGGGACCATCTTTCATTTATGTTCCAGATTTGCTAATATCACTTTTATTTTTCAAATATCATTCGTTGTTGTAATCAAAACTTGGTTTTATTTAAGAAAACACAGAATGTTTCTCTTTAAATCTTTATCTTTTAGATCAATCTTTGACTTTTTTTTTAAACTTCTTCTAATAGTTGTTTTTTAACAGTTTGTTTTTTAGGCAAGTGTGTATGTGTGTGGTCTTACTTCAATCAACTTTGATGTGATGAATCATCCTACAAAGTTGCAGTACTTTGGAGAGACTAGAGAGAGAATTTTCTCACTCAAGCATCTCGATACTGACGCTACATTAAGCGTATGATCAACCAATTAGATCTACAGCAGTATTTTGTCTTCGTGTTTCCTAAATCACTTCCCTTTCCATCGGAAAATCCCCAGAGCTTCTCATCTCTCTCGCTAGCAGAAACCAAATGGCTTTCCTTTCGATCGGAAAAGACCCTCTTCACAAGTTCCATCTCTGGCAGTGCTGAAGCATCTTCATCTTCTCAAGCTCCATCTCTGGTGGTGCCGATTCGAGCCTCCGAGCGATGCCGCTGATTCAGCCTCAATGCCACCACCCTTAGACTGTATAGTATTGTGTTATCAATTCATATTAATTGGGTCCACTCACCTCTCTTTTAATATCTAGTTTTATGAATCAAATTGTTCTTAATCAAATTTGGTTTTTATGGTTAAATAGAACTGGAGGAGTGGTTCCTAAGTATGTAATATTCTAATAACTAAAAATAGTTGAACTTGTGCAGATTATTATACTTCCATGTTTATCGGGCTTCTCCAAACTGACGTGCCTAAGCGTTCCAACCACCCAAGGTGTTTCGACAACTCGAAGATCATTCAACTTGGAAGCCCTATTCGATATAGGGTGAGACTTTGTGAGGCAGTTAGTAGTGATTAAATCTAGTAATCTGCAAATAAGTCAAATAAGATTACGACCTGATTTTATGACTCCCTACAATCGTCCATATTAGGCTATTAGCATTTGTTGTTGGAGTATCGGTGTCTATACCTTCCTGAGCTTGGCATTTCTTTTGCTGTAAATGACGATATTTGAGAACCACAAAAGTGTGAATTGAAAGTTGAAAATTGAACCATTTAAGAGTAATTATAATAGTTCTAATAATAAATGAGAAAACACTCGCAAGTTCTTTGAGCCTTTCTTGCTTTGCCATTTCTCTAACAGGCTGATATGCAGCGGCAATATTTTATGCACAATGACCACCTTCCTGCATCACTCAACTGCCTCATTAGGCAAATCTGCATGTATTTCATGCACGTCCATAAACAGATTATAAACAACTTCATCAAACTAAATAGAGTTTAATTTAAACAACTTCCTATCTAACTTTGCAATATCAACAGATTGAAACTTATTCAGTACACCGTACACGGTGATATGGCTATCATAACAAAACTTATTAGGTCGACGGTGAAATGAATTTCATCATTTAAAAATAATAATAAAAACACTTGGAAGAATTCGCACAATAGTGTAAATGCTGACCAAGTTATCCATTTGAGGAGCAGGGCTGATTTCTGAGGTACAAAGGCATAACATACCTTAAGGAAACTCTATTTACTTTGGAAGTATATTTACAGTGTATACAATAACCATAATTATTGAAATGAATTTCATCATTTAAAAATAATAATAAAAACACTTGGAAGAATTCGCACAATAGTGTAAATGCTGATCAAGTTATTTATTTGAGGAGCAGGGCTGATTTCTGAGGTACAAAGGCATAACATACCTTAAGGAAACTCTATTTACTTTGGAAGTATATTTACAGTGTATACAATAACCATAATTATTGAAGAAGTTCTACAAAACTAACCTTTTTAGGGAAAATGAGAATACTTCTCATGATTATACCCAATTTAGTCCTCTTTTTTGAAGAAGTAAACATTTACCAAAGCTAACCTCTCTTGTGATGGTAAGATTCTTACCATTGATAATAACTACCAATACGATTTTATTTTGTATATATCAACACCATTAAAACAAAAACTGAAGATTTGGAAACATTACATGGTTCCCACACAACAGAATGGAACACTTAAGTTAACAAAAAAAAGATCAAAATACAAAGAATGGAGAGGAGGGCAAGAGAGATCAATAGGAATACATTCTGACTTAAAATTTGACCAGCTTACATTAGATGAAAGTTTAATATCAGCTAGTCTGTTAATCAGTTAGTCTGTTAAGGGATGTTAAAGTCCATCACCCAGTTTGAGATTACACAAATAATCCGTTAGATTATAGTCATATATAGGTAAACAATGGTAAGGAAAACAATTTTTTAATCATGTGAACTTATAAGAAAGAAAGCAAACCTGGAAAATCCTGCCATTATCTTCTTATAACCTATGGCAGAATAAAGGGAAATACTTGTATGTAGTTTCCACCTGATGCCCTGCTGGTAAGGAGCTTAGAAGATTTCAGCAAAGCATTGATTCCTCATTCTTATATTTCAGTGAACCATTGATCGCTGAAAAAACGTAAGGAGCTGAATGAATGCAATAACAAATTAATTTCATAATCATGTGAGCTTATTATAAGAATGAGCACAGATAAGTGTATGTCCAAAACATACTATATCAGCAACAGTTGAGATAATATCATAAAACCCAACTTCAGTTTGCAAAAACATATAGACCTTAGTATGAGAAATGTATTAGTAATGGTTAACTAGAGATTTTTAGCTTAACTAGAACACATTCAAGGCACATGCAACATAAGTATAATGCATGCGTATGAGCTCAAAGATACAGAAGAACTCAGCCCCATCACGGTAAAGATGACACACAATCATCATTCATCAAGTTGTGAATATTAAAGACTAGAACATCAAGTTAATGAAACCCAAAAAAAAAATTAATTAAAAAAAGAACTTTTGGCCTATCAAATGATACAATTGCTAAGGAGAGTAACTTTATAAATATTTTTGCCAGATATGTTATCACTGTATCACTATGCCTGATATGTTATCCTGTTATCAGAGAAAATACCAGCAAATCACAACTAAGAAGCGGTCATGATTAGTCTTTTTTACTCAAAAATCAGACCCAGAAAGAAGATCATTTGTCTCCTGTTATATCCTCACCTCTTGTATCACTCCCACAAGGTACCCATGCAGGCTGTGTGGCATTCTAGCAAGGTACCTTCCTAGGTTTATAAATTTATAATGTTTAGTAAAATGATTAATGCTCGTATGTATTATTACATGTATGTGTGTAATTAACAATTTACATCAGTTAATTACTTAAATACGATTCATAGGATTATGTCTGAATTTTGAAAATTTAATTGCTTTAATTTTCCATATGTATTATTCGGATAAAGCCTGTATTTATTTATTAAAAAGAGTCATAAGGTTTTTGTTAATTTACCTGTAATTAATGCTTTCTTTTACGTCCTATCATACTATAAGATGCAAACGCAGGTTACACATCAGGTTTCTCTTGCTGTGTAGCCCATTCCACTCCAAACATGAAGGAAATGAACCAAATAAGTAAGAGAACCATAGGCCATAGCTGTGCTGAGTTTTGTTTTTGACAGTTAGATACTGGTTTAAGGCACACACAATAGATAGGAGCTCTGCAAGATATTCAGCTTAATTAACTAGCTAAAACTACAGGTAATCCATGTAATATGACCAACACTGAGACGAGTTTTCTAAAAGCTTGCTGAGCTTGTGCAATTCCACCTCACAAAAGGATAAATAACCAAGAACCAGACTCGGACCGTAGCCAAACTATAACACACAAGGCCACAGGCCCACAGCCCATCAAATCCTCGGTCTCTGTTGAAGCCACCAGATTGAAGGAGAATGATGTATACATTATCCAGAGTACAATAAAAGTGATCAGTTAGTCAGAACATTGAAGGAATACGGTGGCTGTTGGTGCTTCTTCTGACTACACATTGTTTTGAAGTTTATCTTAGCAGATTGAAATTTACGACAATCATTATTTATGATGCCCATATGGCCATATACGGCCTTGTGCCCTATTTGATTTCTCATCTTAGATTCTGCTACCCATTGTTCTACCAAGAGCACCGAGCATAGAGTTGGCCTGATAAATGCAACACTTACCTACAACAGCACAATAACCTCAAATGGGAGAAACTAACGGTTCTTATGCCTCAAAAATATCCAATTACTTCCATTTTTTCAATAGATTCAATAGGCTCAACAGCAAGGTCCAAGCATAAATCATCCAAATGATCACATTGTACTTCAGGTAGCAGATGCATTGGGTTGGGAAATCAAAGCAAAAATGGAAAGCAGGGAGCAAAGAAAACAAAATTGCAAATAATTAATTATTAATAAGATTATCTTTACGGATACAGATTGATAACGTTGACAAAAACACACAAAAAGCAGAATAACCAAAGACAAGCCGCAGAGTGGCCAGTTAAATAGTGAGCTGTACAGTCAACGCTGTATTTCACTCATCAAGTATAGGAAGGTCTCATTGCGCAAAGTATCATCAAACAGTGAAACCTCCTTTTCCCTGTAATCTAGACGTTCTTCAGCATGTAATGATTTAATCCGGTTGTCCTCCCCAAATGCCACAAGTATAGGCTCAAACGAAAGAACTTTGGGTATTGCAACAGGAGAAGACAATTGCGGCCACGGCATCTCAGTAACTGGATTTGGATTACATATAGGAGCAAAGACCACTTCAGAACCAGGATAGTCCTCCTTGATTTGTTTGTAGGAGTCAAGCAACTTCTTGAGAAGAGAACTAGAGGAGCCAAAGTAAAGGAGAATTTTCCTGTTCTTGAGGTCAGAAACTGTCAAGTGAGAATAACCTCGTTTGCCTCCCTTGTAGGAAAGAAACGACTCTAGGGTGAGTGACCTTAAAGCCGAAAGCTTGTCATCTAACCATTTCTTTCTAGTGATAGGATATAAGTTCCTTGAGCCAATCCACTCCATAAGAGCCAATCCACTTAGCTCACCAGAACGCCCACCACCCGCCCAAATGATTACATCATCTTCATATGGAACATTAACAATTTGGTAAAGCCTTCGGCTAACATGGTCAACAAAGGGCAGCTCCCACCAAGACGATATATCGTTCTCTTTCAATGCCAACTTGAATGCTTCAGAGTAGGAAGACTCGTCAGAAAAGTAGGATAGGTTTATGATCACAACCTCAAACTGTTGCTTACGCTGAACACATCTGCGACGGAAGATTTCAAGACGAGACATAAATTCAGCATCAAAGCAAAGGTACAAGACAACAAACTTGCTCTTGCTGAGATCTGCAACAGATATTACCTTGTTCTCTAGGCTACTGCCATCACATTTGTGTAGGAGCATTGAGGATTCGCAGCACAAGAGTTCCTCCAGGGTCACAGGTTCCTTGTAGAGAGGACCTGTGAACTGGCCACCGAGTTCCCGTTGCCTGTAAACTGGATCCAACCTCAATCTTACCTCCTCAATTTTTTTCTTAATGGAGTCCAAGTGGTGATCAGTGAAAGGGAAGGACGCAGCTCCATAATTCTCGAAACACCAAGTATGCGTCTGCAAAACCTTTTGATCAGGATCGAGAACAAGACAAGCATCACCATCACTTGATAACCTCGAACTTTCTATTCCAAGAAGCTTGCAAATCGAGTCTCGGGTCGAGGAGTCAGAAAAGGGTACAGCCAGGCAAGGAAACGCAGAAAAAAACCAGTCGAAAGCAGGTTCCTCTTGTTTCTTAGAGATAAACGTGGATCTCATCTTAGCTACCATCACCATCTCGAAATTTAAGTTCTTCTTCTTCAAGTCATTGTAAGTTGCTATCAAGGCGCGGCATGGACGGTGAGGAGGGTCTTCAACAAACATAGGCACAAAGAAGCAACAAACAACCAAATACTTACCGGCAATGGCATCGACTAAACCAACTCTTTCACCATTGTTACGGACCAGGGAGCTTGTCTTACCGCCATTAGATAACAAGGAAAACACATCAACCGGCAATTTCTCACCTTTCTTAATATTAAGAGGCTTGCACTCCTCCATAAATATTTCCTCTGGAAACTCGAAAAAATCATGCGGTTCACCAGTAGTAAAATCAGGGCTGATGGTATTTACTGGAGAAGGAAAATAGTTTTCGGAGTCGAATAGCGAATACGGGCGTCCTGGTCTCTTAAGAAGATCGTGGCAGACGCAGGGATCGTGGCTACATCTCTTCAAAGTCCAATCCTCCTTCTCCTTTTTCTTCTCCTTTTTCTTCTCCTTTTCTCCGCCCCTGCCTAGCTTCAGCGCCCCAGTTTCCTTCTCCACGCCGCTGCACCTCTTCAAAGTACAATCCTCCTCCTTTTTCTTCTTCTTTTTCTTCTCCTTTTCTCCGCCCCTGCATCTCTTCAACGCCCCTGTCTCCTTCTCCTTTTCGCCGCCGCTGCATCTCTTCAACGCCCCAGTTTCCTTCTCCTTTTTGACGCCGCTGCACCTCTTCAACGCCCCACTCTTCTTCGTTTCATCCATCATATATATACTTAAATAATTTTAACTTATTACTAAAATAAATTAATTTGTGTGACCAGAGCTGATCACAATTGTAATGGCTTCCGCGGAGTATCCTAGTATATATAAGAACAGAATCTAGCGTAGGGGTTTTGAGGCTAAACATTTTCAGTGGATCAGATTATATGACATCCATTATCAGCTGGTGTCAAGGGGGAGCCAGGCCCGATATCTCAAAGTATATATAGAAGTCAAGCTCATTACTTCGTAGCTCGGACCAAAAAAGCCCAAACTATATATTGGAGTATTAGGGCTTTCTATTCTTTTGGAATTTTAGACATTTTAGGATTTTCGGGTGTATTTAATTGAAGCATTTTAAAATATGAAATCGTATCATGCACTCAATAAATTGTCATTAAAATACGTCTATTTATAAATAAAAACAATCGAATGAGTCAAAATGACTTTTTGACAACCTTGTAATCCCAATTTTAGTGTATGTCTGGCTATCTTTTTAAAACAAATTATATGATTAACGTGGAATATTTAGTTATGATTGACTTAAATACAAAATAAAAATAACGACATGTGAGCTAAAGTCGTGATTAAGAGTTTGTCAATGGATCACTAGGACACGGCCGATTGCTTTTTATAAGTAGATGTACTTATATGACACTTTATTGAATACATGGTCTTATGTGACGATTTCATAATAGTAGAATGTCTTATTTGACACTTTTCTCTAAAATATTTTAAAAGTCTTGAGGTATTCAATTAGGAAATTTGGAGAGTCATTGTGACACCGCGCCCGAACGTCCTTGAAAATTCCATTTAAAATTCAAAGTTTACGTAGTGAATTTCCGACTTCCAAACAATTGTAAAATGATTCATCTTTTACGTAGTACATGGTTGATTATTGTACTGTTCAAACTCGTACATTAGTGTCGGGTTTTTGCAAATACTTATTTGGGACTTATTAATAAATTAAAGAGCTTAACATTATCTAAATAGTGATACATAATCTTTTAAGACAAACAAATGTTAAAATAAGTGATAGAATGACTAAAGAAGAATATAAATGCCTATAGCCCTATCTTTAGCATTATTTAGCTAAATAATGGGAGTAAGATTTTCCTTCTATGATATCCATCAAGTAAATTATTGAGATGAGCCTACACATATTGGGGATCAATAATGTGATGGAGGAAGTTGACTTGCTCTAAATAAATTAGGATAAGTACAAAAAGACATCTTTGACAAAAGATAAAACAATAGGACCCATCTTCCCATTTTTGGAAGTATTGGTAGATATTTTGGACCCCAAATTGAATGGGATCATTTGGAGACCATCCCACATGGCTTGAGTACCTGAAAGACAAAGTAAATGAGGGTTATTCACTTCATGGGGCGGACTTTGGCTCACCTACTCAAAACAACTTCAAGAGAAAACAAAAACAAAGGAGGTCCACCCCATATTTGTTCACAAGCCAAATATCTTCCCATGCCCTCTTGTAAGCCACATGATTTATCATTTTTTTGAGAGCTATTAGTCACCTCCACAACCCCCATTCGAACTCCCAAGATAAGAGAGAAGGAGAGAGCCACATACTCCAAGGGAGAGGTGAAGAGAGAAGCTGGCCGCAGGGTTCGTTTTCCAGTAGATAGGGTTACTTGTTTGATCTATAACTTGAGCTTCACTCGTCCAAATAAGGCTTATGATATACCAAAAGAAAGATCTCAAGACGAGGAATCCGTGAAGGTCTGGTTTGAAGGAATCAGAGTAGTGGAAGGCTTCCAAATCGTCCGAGCAAAACACAACCTCGCAGGAGAGGATTTAATCTTCTAAAGTGAGTTTTAACCCCAAAACTTTACTTTTCATTTTCCAAATGATATGAACGATTGGTGGGGATATTATACACTAATTCAAGTGTATAATATGTCCTTATAAAGTTGTTTTATGTGTGTAAAGGTTGGATACTAACCTAGAGCAAATCTTAGAAACTAGGAAACGAGTTAGCCGGAAAACACCCATTCTAGGGGCTGTTCTCGTATCAACGATTAGGGGTTGAACTAGCACTTTGATGGGGCTGTTTAACACTCATTTCTAAGCAAGGAATCAGTTCTCAATCTCCCTTGGCCGAGGCTTTGGTCATTGGATCGAGAAGGAAAGTTTTAAAGCTCATTTGAGGTGAGGATTGACATCTAATTGCTTACAACTTGTAGGTTAAGCATGAGATTACCTAAATGCCTAAATCATAATTTTCATGAATTATTATGATTAAATATTGATGAAATATGGATATAGTTCCCAAAGAATGAAATTGGAAATGAATTGAGGATGTATGAATAATATGAGATTAAATAAGTTATAAATGAACTATTTTGTGAAATAGGGATTTTACTCATGTATGAGTTATGTGGATACATAAATGAATATTTATGTATTGAAATTGAATACTTAAGTTGCTGCTACATGCTTATAATTATGTAGAGAATTACAAAACGAGAGTATTTGTATGATAACAATAATCTTAATAGTATTGAAATACTAGTTAGTGATTATTGGAAATTGTTGATAGAATTGATCCTAGGGATTGGATTGTATGAAATGCACTTGAATATACTTCAAGTGTATATGATGACTTAGTATGAAACTAAGGTTAAGTGGTGGGAAGTCTTTAAGGATGACCCATGGTAGTTTATTGATATGTCAATTCTAGGCATAGGGTTGCTTAAGAATTGGACCTTCATGCATGGTGATGTGATAGAGCCGAGCTCTAGGATGCATGGTAAGGTGGTAGACTTGTAGTTTATGTATTGAATAGCTAGAGCCGAGCTCTAGGGCTTGCGTGGTGATGTGATAGAGCCGAGCTCTAGAACGCAAGGTAAGGACATTGACCCGAGTGACATGAATTGTATGGTGATGTGGTAGAGCCGAGCTCTAGAATACAATGTCATGTGTTAGGGTTGGACTCTATGAGTTGTCGTGGCTTATAGCCACGGGGAATGGGAATGGTGACTTCTAAATGAACATGGGCCCACGGGCCGACTACTTGACTTTTACATAAAGTAAGTATATTTTCAAATGGGGTAACTTAGGGTTACAAATCATAATGTACTATCACCCTAATTGAGGGTCTTGTGTTTGAAATACTTGTTGTATATCTATTAGATGCCTGCCACACCAGTACTTTATAGCCGTATAGAGTACTCACCCCTTCGGGGGCGTCCCACCACCATTTCAGGTTGAGGCTAGAGCTTGCATCCTGTGCTCGTTGATCGAGTGATCCCTCGGAGAGAAGACTTGGTTCGTGCTTCCTCCATTCTATTTGAAACATTAATAAATTTGCTCATGGATATTTTACTATAGAGCTTGCGTGCTCATGAATAGTGTAAGGAATAAATGTAATTAGATTTTGATGATGCTATAGGATTAGAAAGTTAGAGTACCCCCAATTAGATTTTATGTATTAGAATTTTCAATTGTAAGTATTAGTGTAGTCGACGATCAGAGTTGCTCTGTTTTGGATCAAATCAGAAGTGCATCAGAACTGCTCGACCAGACTTGCTCTGCGAGAACTGCCCCATCAGAGTTCTCTTATCAGAAGTTCATCAGAGTTGCACCATGAGAGTTGCTGATAAATTGGACATCTGATAACCAATGAGAGTTACAGATCAGAGGTACTCATCAGCGGACCTATCAGTGTCAGAGTTAGAGTTCAATCAGAGTTCTCTTATCAGAAAGTCATCAGAACTCAGGAAGCCATCAGAATCCAACACATCAGAAGAGCCTGATCAGAGCCCGACTAACACTTAGAAGATTTCAAGCAACATCCAACAGCTATGAATCCAACGGGTAAAAACATCCAACGGCTAGAAGATTGTGCATGAAAGGAAAGCATTTAATGCACATTAAATGAGCCTGATACGCTGAAGGATTGATTGCAAATGATTGACCAAGGGATCCGGGAAGATATATTATAAAAATAGAAACCTTCCAAAACGGCGGTCAAGTCAACAGTACGTGCATTCAATGCAGTTGTCTCCTCCTCCAACGGGCAGACAACCTCAGTATATAAGCTACACACCGAAGAACAGGAAAATAACTTTGCTACAACTTTTGCTCATCAAATTTTCAAGCTCTCTTGAGATTCAAATTCCACAATCTTCAACAAGACAAGCTTACGTTGGGAAGACTCTAATATCCATAACCTCAAACCCCAACACACAGCAAAGTTCATCCTGTTTCTTCAACACTTCAAGAACTTCAACTACATATCTCTTGTAACGAAGCAAGTTGGAGAAAACTCTGTTCTCAGAACATCTTCTGCAAAGAAGGGCGTCCAAGTAGCTGCAGTAGTGAAGTGGTGATACTTCCGGGAAGCTGAGTGAAAGGACCAGTCATCAGGAAGCAGGATTGCATCCCGGGTGACAACTAGACTTGAAGAAGGCGTGGAGAACTTCTTAAGTGCTAGGGACTACGCTTTGTAACCGATCTACTTCAAAGCTAGTGGAACAGTGGACTAGAGGAACGCGTTGTTCCTTGAACCACTATAAAATATCCGGTGTCATTTACTTTACTGCAATTTACATTTCTGCACTTAGGATATTAACTGTTAACTCTAAGACTTGAATCTGTGTTCAGCAGATCTTATTTTCAGAGTTATCAGAAAGGCATTTGCCTTAGTGTTTCTGAGGCTACCCGGACAGATCAGAATCCGCTGCCAAGGGCAGTTCTGATATCAGAACCAGCCTTTCTCTGTCACCAGAATCAGACATTCTCTGATAAGTCATTTTGGACTTAGAGAAAAGTTGAAAAACCAATCAGTCTATTCACCCCCCCCCCCCCCCTCTAGACTGATTACCATATTAAACGGGACCAACAAGTGGTATCAGAGCCTCCTTGTTCTGGTAATCTTTTAGGTTACTCTCTGAACAAAGATCCACTTGTTCTTAGCCTCTTTATTTATTATAATGGATAACTCTCTTGCCAAGCATCTAATGTTCACAGATCAGAAATATGATGACTGGAAGATCCGGATGAAAGCTCATCTTTGTGCCCTGCATGATGAAATGTGGGAAGTCTTGGAGAATGGACCTTTTATCCAATTCATGAAGGTCAACCCTGCCCATACCTTAG